CTCAGAAAAAGAAAAGTACTAGAAAATGCTGCTGTCAATATTACAAAGTGCATCCTTGCAGTGATATGTGGTATGCATACTCTGAAATAAACTGGAGTTCACTATGACAGACTATGCAAGTCAGGGTAGAAAGTGCTGTTACTTCATTTTACAGATGCCGATTAGGCAGTTTCAGTTAAACTTTACAACAGACTATCAAATACACTCCAATTATTGTCATTCTGGATACTAGGCTTCTATTTCCATTATAAACCACAATTAAGGATGTAAAAGGATCTATGTGTTGTTCTTGGGATACATTAATCCAAAATTATGTGCAATAAGGTACCAAACACCCAAGTGAAGAGAGTTCCTTCGCTTTAGGAAAACACTCATGTGGAACATCAGTCTACCAAACTGTAAGACTAAAAGAACACAAAATTGATTGACACACATTTCTCATGCAGCAGAGTTCAAAGGTGTCAAACTCAAAACATTTATATGAGAAGGGAAAAGCGCCAACGAATCAGAACACTTTGCTTTACCCAACATGGCATTTTGTGGTTCTGCAAGGGTTCAGGAATTCCAGCAGTATTTGGGGCAGTGAGGGGGAACAGAAGGGGATACAGCAGGAGTGTCTGTAAATGTTGACAGATGAGACAAGAAAAAGTCCCACTAACAGTACAAACAGGTGATGCTGCAAAGCAGGCATGGAATCACAGAAAGGAGCAGACTTTCTGACAAATGTTATGCTCCAGAGAAAATTGGCATATCAAATACAGGGACGTAGTGTGGCTCCCAAAAGCCACGAGGTTACACACACACCCCGATGGCCACTCTCACGAGACTTTGACAGACATAGATTTGGGTAATTTTATAGGAAAAACTGTGTGCGCTGGAAGCACATTGAGACCACACCCTAGGATGGAGCATCTGGACTTTAAACGCGGGGGAATTAAAAGTTGAAAGGTCTGGTCTCACAGGTGAAAAAGACGTAGCGACAGGAGCAAAGACACACTAACCCTCCGTGGGCTCGGGGTGTCCCCCAGGAAAGCGCAGCGTGGCCCGAGGACAGGGGCGAGGGCCCGGAGAGCAGAGGCGTCGGGGTACGGAGGAGCCTGGGAGCCGGGGCGCAGGGGAGCACGGGAGCAGGGGAGAAGCAAGGAAGCAGGGAAGCGGGGAAGCGCCGGCACGGGGCCGCCGGCTCCCGCACGCGCCACGGCCCGGGCGGAAAGAGCGGACGCCGAGAATGAATGGGCGGAGGCCGGGCCCAGGCCGGGCCGGGAGCGCGCAGGGCGGCCGCGCGGCCCTCCGCGGCGCCAAGGGGCGTGAGGCGACGACTGGCCGGTCACTCACCCGCCGCGAGATCGGGCACTCCGCCGCGCTTCTCCTCGGCCGCCCGCGGCTCCTCACGGCGCTAGGGGGAGCCCCGGGCCCCGGGGCGGGCGGCGGCGGCCGGACCGGGAGCCCCTCCGCACCTGCCCCTCTGGCGGAGCGGCGAAGAGCCAGGCGACGGCGGCGGCGGCTTGGAGCGGGGAGGGCAAGAGACCCGGATGTACAGGGTAACGGCGAAGGGGGAGGGGGGAGTGCCAGGAAGTGAGGGCTCCGGGGACCTGTCCGGCCCTGCGCATGCGCCGCGCGGCCCCAGCCGCGCAAGGTAAAGCCTCAACCGTCCTCTCCGCCCTCCTCCCCCACCCCTCGGGAAAGGGGCGGGGCGCGGCCGGAGACAGGTGGTCCGGCGCGTCGCGCCGAGAGCCAGGGGGGCGCGGCCACGCCGCACGAGGCCACGCCCTCCCTTAAAGAGGCAGCACCCCCGCGGGAGGCTGCCGCCTGGGTGGTTGGGGTGGGGGGGTCCTTCCAGTGGCGGTGCCCAGCCACAGGTCAGCAAGCTCGGAAAGAGCCCCAAGGCTCTGAGCTAAACCCAGGAAAACGCCGCATTCCAGCATCCCGCACCTGGCGAGGCGAGGCGAGGCGAGGCTGCTGGCAGCAAGTCTTTCCCCCTGGGGCCAGGTACTTGAGCCTCTCTGGCGTTTCCAGACGCGGCTCTGGCGCGCTAGGCAGGCTCCCCGGGGCCTGCAGAGAAGCACCGTTATCGCCCGAGATGCTATCGCGGAGACGCCCTTGGGAGGTGTTAAATGATCAGTCTGGGAACAGAAATGAGACTCCACTTGATAGCGTGGCTTGCCACGCACAGCACTTTCAGATAAATCAGACCCTTGTTCTGGGGTCGACTCGGCGGCAGTGTCGAGTGGGCTGAGAATCTGGATGTGATGGAGGGCGAAGCCATTTAATTACTTCTCTAATCCCACTGTCACTCTTGGAAAATAAATGCTACCTTCCCTTCTCTACACACAAAATCGTCTCATCTACTAGTTCCCCCTGAATCCTGCCGTAAAACTCCTGGTTTGCATGAGCAATAAAAGGTAGAGGATTAACATGGTTACCTCTCCCAGGTCTTCTTTCCATGGTTACTTCTCCCAGTTTGCTGAGCACAGCACTAAGATGGAAGTAAAGAATTTTGAACATTTTGGGGTTAAGAGCCCAGTTGAAAAATCACGTGAAGTTATGGACTTTCCCCTCCTAGGAGGCTGTATATACACATACAAATCTGCGTATGATTAGGAACTTAGGAACTTGGCGACAGTATCTCGAAACCCTGATCACGATTCCACACCCTCCACTCCCCAACATCGACCACTTGAGAACCACTGGCCTTGATAAATGTGTCCAGTTAAGTCAGTCTGGTGTCTTATACTGTAGGGAGGCCTTTGTCTTGGTCAGCCTGTCTGCCTCTTGAGTTACATGTAGGCAACATGGTATTCAATACAGTAAGGAGAGCCATGGGAAGCAAAGTGACGTACATGAAGGGACAGCATCCTACATCTCAGATCTGTATGCTTCAGGAGGCTTTGGATTGCACACTACGTCTATCAGATTTCCATCAATTTTGATTACACTGAGATACAGAACTGCCTTCACCATCCAATAAGGCTGGTCCATGTACCTGACACACACCAGCATTCACTGGCCCGTGTATATACACCTTGTATCTGACTGGTCCTTCAGATACCAGTTCCAAGCAGCCACACGACAAAAGCAGAAACCTCACCCATGACTATCCAGCTTAGCTGGGACCTCTCCACCTATGAGGAGCACATCACTGGAATTGTCAGCTTCTAGGAACCTCAGATTTTACACTGAGCAGGATCCTCATACCCAGCAATCTTTATCCACTAGCCTTAATGTTATCTTTGGGGATCAAAATAGGATACTGGCCTGAGGCGCTGGCACTCCCAAAGAGTCAATTGATGAATAATAACAATAAAATCGGACAAGTCCTGCACAGAACACAGAATACTCTCAGAGGCAGCTGCCCCATCATCAGCCCAGGACCCATATCTAGCCTTGGTGAGAAGTACAAGCAAGCTCCACCACTACCCATGTGGAGAAGCTGGCTCAGGAAACACGCTCCCTCCAAGAAGGGCTAAATTTATTCTTGCACACTTCTTTCTTCATCGTTCTGCCCGACTGTGATCACATTTCAGCTGAGGCCAAAGGTTTCGAAGTTTTAAATTACAAAAGCAAGCAAAAGGACACCAAAAAAGATGTTTGCACAAGAGGAATGACCAGTCAGCGATGCTGTAGTCACTGCGGCCACCACAAGTTTCTGGAATCCTGACGTTGCTTACACGGTGCCAAGCATTGTGCTCAGCCTTTGACTTGCGTTTCCTTTGCTTTTCACAGACATCCCATATGGTTCTGCTTTCACGTCCGCTCTGTGAATGAGGAATTCGGGGTTCAGTATGTGACGGATCCAGGATTCGAACGCAATCTGTCAGCTCCTGGACCTGTCTGTTTCTCCATGTATACTATACCCTGTCTACTTTCTCGAATTTCAAAAGATTGCTCTACGTGCTGGCTTCTTTGAGATTTTTATTATTAAATCAGTTTTAAAGCACGATGATGGTGATAGGGCTAGAGATGCTCGGCAGTGAAGAGCAATTAACTATTCTTACAGAGGACCGGGGATTCCATTTCCTTCACCCACATCGGGCCACTCACAACTGCCTGTCTTTCCACCTCTAAGGGATCTGATGCCCTCAGGCCTTCACAGGCATCTGCACATATGGTGTACATAAACTTATGGAGGCACACACACACATACATACACATAAATAAAAACTAACAAATCTCTATAATGTTAAGTAAACTGTTTTGTTCAGTCAACATTTTGTACCATCCCGTCTATTATATCCCAGGCATCATGGGAGAGTCTAGGGTAGAGGACACATGGTCCCTACTTTGAGGTCTCTGGGGGCTCCGTGAGAGAACAAGGGTTGTAACTTGGTATTGGTAACAGAGGATGTTGTAAGAAGAGGGGAGCCGTCTCTGCTCGGAACAGTTCTGAAGGTTTTGACAAAGCCTTTGGGGTTGGTTTGGAAAACACCAGGAAAGGCATGGCAAAGGGTACAGTGGTGGAAAGGAGAGAATTCTGTGAGTAAGAAGGTAAGATGATAAGACACCAAAGCCACCTCAAATTTTAACACAGCGCCAACAGACGAAAAGATACTTGTAACCAAGGGAGAAACAGAATCGGACTTAGTTCCTATCAAGACCACTTGGAACACAGTGTCCAAAAGACCAGGAGTCTGGCTGAGAGGCTCCGGAGGGGTCCAAGATGAAGATAACAGCTTGGAGCTGGGGTGTAGCTTCGTGGCAAGGCACTTGGCTAGCATGCTCAAGGTCCTGGAGATTATCACCGCCCTGGCCAAGGAAAGAAGAAATACTAAAACTAAGATACGCACTCAGTATCTTCCTGAGTTTATGACTGATTGAAACTGGGGTGAGAGGAAACAGGAGCTGTGGGGACTGGCCCTGAGGCTCTCAGCTGAGAACACTAACTGGCTGGTGTCACAATTGGGCCCCCGATTCCCTTTACCCAGCATTCATGCCTCTCCTCCAACTTTCTGTAAACGCACACTGCTTTTACTACTGCTATCTATTTATACTGCTTTTAACTATTTCCCAAGCTCTTTTTCATATTTCATCACAGATGCATTTAGCATTTAATGGCTGAACAATATTTCATCACACTTAAATAGCTGAGTTTCCTTCCATCACTATGGGTCCATATCCAACATGCCAGCTGACCCTAGACCTGCTCACCAATGGGCATTGTGCAAGGGCAGAGCTAAGCCAAGAGAAAGAGCCGTTAGGCAAAGGGTTTTGGAAAAGAACAGCCTCGGGGCCCAGCAGACTACAGCTCTCCCTAGAGAGGCCTATGCAACTGCACTGCATGTAGAAGCTGCAGAACTCTGAGAAAGAACCTACCATGCATGAAAACCCAATGTCTAATTCTCTACAGAAGCTGCTGTTAATACCTTGACCTCTTCCAGTCATTCATTCATTCATTCATTCACTCATTCACCCCACACACATTCTTGGGGGGCACAAGGTAACAGCAGAACCAAAGCTACTTCAAAACTCTGACCAGGTATGGCCTGGTCAAGTTCAATCCCTGCTCTGGAACTTACACAGTTTCAACCTCTTGCAGCTTTGGTTTCTCCAACAATGTCTAACGTTTCCCTTCCTTCCTTCCTGGTGACTTCTGGATGCCTGCCACTGCACCCTGCATTTCCAGGCAAGCCCATCAGGCCAAGGAAGCATACACCAAAGTCCAGAGCCTGAGTGAGCCGCTGAACGAGGGCCACTCATTCGATTTCTGCAACCTCTCATTTCTGACCTGGCCAATGGGGAGAAGAATCTACCTACTTCCTGGAATGGCATGGAGCCCTCATAAATACTGTACAGGAAAGCATTTTTGTAGATGAATAGTGACCACATAAGTTCTCTCGATTATAATTACCAGGTCAAAGAATCTGAACACGTTCGTGGTCTGTTCATTGCCTAGTTGCCTTACAGAAGACTCTTACTGCGTGCTGCCAACCTCGTCTCCCGTGCACACCTGCCGCCGTGTGTAGAGCCCGAACAAAGCTGCTCTCCTTCCCACTAGTCTTGTGTCTGGCATTCAGGGGTTGGGCTCATTCGTCCCGCACGGTGCATCCCACTCCTGTGCGGTGCTGGCAAACAGCAGCGCCAAAGCCACCTCAAAACTCTGGGTGTAGCCGGGTCAGAATCCAAAACCTGCTCTGAAATTCCTCCCTTCCTCTTCCCAGGATGAGCAAACAGGGAATCGTCAAGGCCAGAGGCTCCTTCCAACCATCTCCTCCACAGCCAGGGGTTCCAAACTCCTAACTGAGACCCCACACGGATGAGAGCAAGGAGAGAAGCCTGGGGGGGTCCCTTGGATAGGGCTGGGAGCTCGTCTCACACTGAACGGAGACATCAGAACTGTCATTTCAAAAGATCGAACCCAAGACCTTCCTGCTGTTTAACAGAAACATGAACCAGTCCCCAACAGCCGTAAAGTTATCCTCGTGGCCAAATTCCCCCTAAGTTAAAAGGTCTGTAGAGAAGTCCAGGTCACATCTCCAAATGGAACATACTTCTCCCAGGGAAGGCAGTCAGAAGGCTCTGTTCCAGCCATTTGAGTG